TGAGTGATGCTGGGCGCAGGATGATCCAGTTCCTATATCCAGTTATCACGTCGGGCCCTTGGAAAGACTGGCAGATATGCGTGCACCATCCATACCTCATCCCATATTTTAAAATACATATATATGTGTGTGTATATAGCAGTTCTCCTTGCCTGTGCAGTTACCCTGTAACTTCCTCAGTGGTTGTTCAAGTGAAGCAGTCTCAGAAACGCCACCAAAGCAGCCAGGTAATGCTAACAAGGGATTATTATCCAGAAAACTGGCAAGAAGGTTGAGGGATTAGGCAGGGAAGAGCAGCCAAAGAGGAGCAGGAGAATGCCCTGGGGGAGATGCAACTCCCATATGGCTGTGGTTGCAACTGCATGGTATGCATGAGGTTGCAAACCCAATTCAGCAGCACCCTTGCGCTGCCTGGTGCTGACGCGGGAGCAAGATGGGTCAGGCAGCGACCTTCTTCCATCCTTATTGCTGCTAAGCAAAGGGGATTGCATGAGTGCATGGGAGATGTGCAGGGAACCTCATTGGAGCCAGGAATACATAAGATACCTTTGAAGGCAGTGAGGCAACAGGTATTCTTTTATAAAAGCATCATTTTGCATGTGTATAAGATGTGAATGTTTACACAAGGCTGTTTTCTGAAGTATCAAAATGTAAAGCTCCGTGCAGACGCGTAGCGGCTGAAGGGAACCATGCGATACCTACACATGGTATCCACAAAAGCTCTGTGGTCCAGGAGATCCCGCTTCTGCGATTCTGATGTTTCATCCCATTCCCCTTCCATCGTCCTTCCCGTTCTTGCCTTTTTTTTTCTTCGTAATAATAGCTAAATGAGATGTATGGTAGGGTGGAGCTGTTCAGAAGCGTCTGTGGGATTTAGAAGCCCAAGTCCAATTGAAAAGCACTGGGCCTTGGGCCCTGAATCCCGTTAGGGAAATTGCGAGTAGTTTGATGAGCTAAAACTGGGACAGCAGTGATGCGGCCGCTAGAGAGGTTGGATTTGTCGCTGCTCTGGGTTTTTGTGATTTGAAGTAATGAGCAGGGCTCTGCCATACCAGAGACAAAAGCGCTCTTCTGTGTTGGTTTTCTTTTCTTTCCAGGCGATGTGGCTATAGCAAGGCTAAGCAAGATCCAGAAGAAGAAAAGATGCATTTTCATAACGGACACAGTGAGTAAAGATCCAACGTGTATACATGTGTTTTGGCCCTCTGTGTTCATGAGAAGTACAAGTGAGAGGGGTTTTTTCCCCAGCAATCATTTTGCTGGCAAGTCACAAAGTAATTCAGTTTGTTCTGCTACTCAGTAAGTCCCCACCTGTCTGCCCCAAAGAGCTGAACACTGGAGCAGTCCTTACGTGTCCACCTAGTCACACCAGCACGTTACCAGCAGATCTTTATAGCGAGTCGTTTTCTTCTGTTCCTCTGCCTTTGCTATGTGACTGGAGGTGATATTAATTTTGCCTGGCCAGGACGTAATAGCTCTACATTTTTGTGGCCTGGACATATCTGTGCTGAATACCTGTTTGAAACTCTTGCTCCACCCCAACCAGCCATGGGAACCAAGCCCCACTGCTCCTCTTTGCCCCAGTTACCCCTGCAGAGGTGTGAGGATGCTTTCAGAAATGCTGTGTTAAGCTGATTTGAAGTCCCAAAACTCTGCTGTGGTGCTAGAAAGTACATCTCATGGTTGCTGTCAGTTCTTCTGTACATCCAAAACCAGTGTTTGAAAAACCTTCCTTCACCAAGTGCCGGGGGATCTGGGGATGGGTAACAGCGAGGTGCCTTTTGGGGGTGGAAAAGGCAAACGCATCTTAAGCGAAAGTCAAATTTCCATTAGTGCTATGTAATGAAGGCAGCAGGAAGCAAATCAATTAAGAGCCGCAGTGTAATGTAGCTGTCTTATTAGACCGATGAGCAGTTCTTCATGCAAGTAGCCTTAATGATTGTCAAAACAAACTTATATTACGGATAATGAAAATACTTTTTCCCTCTCAAGTCTGGAGAAAAAGTCTGCTATTGATTTTATTTATACTGGTACAACCCATGGGCTTTGTACCAAAATGCTCCATTCATTTAAATCCCAGTAACTCCGTCTGAAATAACGTGGCCCATTGATTAGCTGAGATGCGACTGGTAGGGCATAATTTATTGCAGCTCTCCGTCAACCCTCATCCGTTCAACTTGCTTTGCAAGTTGTTCCCTTAACATTTTGTTTTTTGTACTTTTCCTCTTGATGTATCCTTTCCAGATCCAGAACGGGATCCTCTTGCACCAGCTCGAGGACCAGCAGAAATAGGTTTCCCTGCTGCAGCGTTTCCCAATAAAACCAGGAGTGGGTATTGCCCATCGTCCATCACGCCGTGTCCTGATAACGCTCTTAATTTGTGTTTGCAGTTAAGTTGCCTGGAGTAAGGACCTACATCGACCCGCACACCTACGAGGACCCTAACCAAGCCGTCCATGAGTTTGCAAAGGAAATCGAAGCTTCCTGTATAACCATTGAAAGAGTTATTGGAGCTGGTACGGAAACGCGTTTCTTTTTCTCCTCCCCCATTAAAGTCAGTCTCAAAGCAGAAATTAGGAATAAGAAGTCATCTGAGAGAGCAAAAAAGCACAAACCAAAGCCTAAAACTTCCCTGGTTAAAAGGACAAATTCTGATTTCCTTTCCGGTTAAGCTGTTTGTTTGGACTTGCATCCAACCTTAGGAATATTCTGTATCCTCTGAAATTGTGGTATTGGAGGTAATTTACTGTTCACCAGAAAAAAGAAAAAAAAATCCATTTGGGTTACTTTTTTGAAAGAGGTGATCGTAAAATTGGAAAGGGTTTATAGTCTATAAAAATATATGTTGCTGTGAAAGGCTGACAGCATTCCATCTATTTAACTTACCAAAGCAAGGTTAAGAAGCAAGTGGCTTGTGTTTTACAGCTGCCTATACAGAGTGATGATATAGGATATGTGACAGGGCTCTTCCATCTAGTAGACAAAACCATGAAATGAGGAAAAAACCCAGTGGAATATAAAGCATCGCTCTTTAAATATAGGAAAATTATGGTTTTTTCCCTAATTTTCTTGTGCATATGAATTACTTGGCTTGTGGTACTGTTTGAGATAGTGAGAACTTTGATATTCTGCTTGCCACATGAATGAGTGCGTGTTCTTGGTCAGCTGCCGTGCGTTTCTTCGGCCCGCTGTGACCTTGTTCTTTCTGCTTTTTCTCTGAAGGTGAATTTGGGGAAGTCTGCAGTGGGCGGCTGAAACTGCAGGGGAAACGGGAGTTGCCGGTGGCTATCAAAACCCTGAAGGTGGGCTACACGGAGAAGCAGAGGCGAGATTTCTTGGGAGAAGCAAGCATCATGGGGCAGTTTGACCACCCCAACATCATCCACCTGGAAGGTGTCGTCACAAAAAGTAGGTGCAAGTTGCTGTGGACCTCTGTCCTTGAACCCTGTCTGCTGGAAGGGTTGGTTAGGGGAGGAAAAATTGGGTAGCTTGACATTTCAACTGCGCTTTTCATAATTTCTCAAAAAACTGCGAACTTCCCTTGCCCAAAATTTCACAGTTTTTAGGTCCAGCCAGGAACAGGTTCCCCAACATTGTGAAAGAAAGTTTGTGTGTTCCTGCAGCTGGAATGGATAGTAAAAGTTCACTACCTCTGCAAATCCTCCCTTCCTTAGGCATAATATGCATGGACTGAGAGAAAGCCCCTCTCTGAAGGCCCAAAATTAAATGAGGCAGAAGTAGGAGATGATATCAAGCAGGAGTGGGTGATGGAGGTGGCAATAACTTTGGGATATCCAAAGGAGCGTGTTGCATGACTTCTGCCTCGCAAATAGCTCAGGATCACCTTCCACTTGCAGAATGCAGGAGTGTTTTAAATGCAGCAGTGCTGAGCCACCCACTAAGTTCTTCAAGCAGGCTCACTTCTTCCTCCTGCCTTTAATTCTTTACTTTTGAAACCACATGAGCCTCAGGGTGAGCAAAGAAGTGCCAAGATGCAGGAAGGGATTTCCCTGGCAGGGAAAAAGGGGAGGATTTTGCTACCAAGAGTCTGAAAAGAAGGAGGAAGAAAAATAAACCAAAGCCCCCCAACCCCTGATGATTTCCAGCCATCACATTTCGAGAAACCGCTGAAGCAAAGCACTGGCGAGGGGCCCACGGGAGGGTCGTGCTGAGCCCTGCAGTTGCTCATGCGGGATGTGAGCAAGGACAGGAGTTTTAGCCGAAGTTTTGTTTTCCAGAAGCAGGGAAGAAGAACAGGAGTGGTAGGTGAAGGGGGTTTACCCCGATTAAGGCAAGCTCCCTTGGGATGTGGCAGTAGTTGCCAGTAGAGAAGGTACAAGGACACGAGCCCTTTGTCCTGTTCGTTTCCTTACAACCTACTCGAAGTTGCAATCAGCAGCGTTTCCTTGCATTTTTCCTTGAAACTGCATTTCCTAAAACTTCTAAGAAAAAGAAATAATTAACCAAGGCAGATTTCTCCCAGTAATTGGATAAACATCATACTTTCCTGGGGTCACCTTGTGTAGCCTTTGATACATAAAAGCCTCACCGTGTCCATCTGTCCTGGACAGAAAGCTCCCATTTCCCGTCCTGCAGGGCTATGGGGTTTGGGGCAGGGAGCGAGTGACATTCATACGTCCATAAAAACTGCTCCTGACATGGGCGTCACTCTTTCTGGCTGCCAGGGCCTCTGGGAATGGGCGGAAATCCCACTTTTAGAGAGGATTAGGCTCCCTAGCGACCTGCCTTTTCCTAAAGTGGCCATATGGTCCCAAGGTCATGAAACTGCTGAGGGGTTTGCTTCTAAATTGGAGCAACTGGAGTTGGGGTGCAGGGGTGTACATGTACCCCAGGCTCCTCATTAGCTCAGTAAATGCTTGTTTACTGCACTCAGATTTTTTCCATCAGGCATCTGGAGCCTCTTCCCAGCTTTTTTCTTTTCTTTTAAATGGATCAAAACAACCTTTATGAACCCCAAACTCCTCTGCTACCTCAAACTAGTGTTTAACTTCTCTTTCCCCTCAGTTCTTTAGTCATTGCCCTATCGTAGATTCAGATCTTTAGGATAAAATGTCTTTGCTGCACCACGATTTGCTTTGGAAGTAAATTAAGTTAAATTGAATTAGGCCATTTTTAATTCTGAATGAGAATATCCGCACAGGGGCTTAATACCCTTTAACTGATCTACTTCAATCGCACACCTTAGTTAATTTGGATTAATTGTCTTCATTGTCCCCATGCAGACAAGCCCTCAGCTATTTCTGCTTTACAGAGGTAATGACAGCCCTGTTTGGCTGTGCTGATGGTGTGCACGTTGCATTAGTGCATCGATATGAATGATGCCTACACACATTTTATGGCACTCTAACACCAATGAGAGGGAGCCCTGCTGACACGGGGCATCAGCCCAGCGCTTTCGAAGGGCCAATGTTTACTTTGAATTTCCTTTGTTGAAAGTTATACTCTATTTGTGTCTTGATTTCTGTGCTTTTGGATAGGAGATTAATTTACTCCATGATTCCTATCAACCTACAGCAGTCGGATAATGAAATATAAGTGCCAGAAATCTTCTTTTCTTCTCTCAGATGACAACCAAAGGCAGGAGCCTGAAGGAGGTCCAACAGGATGGTGGAGCAGTGAGACATCAGTCTCGCTGCAGCACTGCCTTGAAGTGTTAAACATAAGGGACCCTGTGCTACAGTTGGGGGTTTAGTGTTTAAAACCAAAAAATGTGGGAAAAAAGGGATATGCCTGGTGTTTTCCTTCCTTGCATAGCCACCCACGTGCTTGCCAACCTGTAGCAACATCACCCAAGATCTCTCCTCCCTCTGGTATGCAGCCCGTGTTGTGTGTAGACAAGCTTCAATCTTGACGATGGGGCTCGTGATGTCGTTTGGGACTCAACAATATCATTCGTGGCCCTGTGGTGCATTTCTCACAGCAAAAATACTGCTTTTGGCAAGGTCCGAGCCCAGGCAGCAGCTGTGATACTAACTTTAAAAAATGAAGCAGCGCAGGTCCCTCACTTTGCAAAGGTGGTATCTGCCCAACAGTGAGTGCTTTGATTGACAAGTTCACAAGTACCTTTATTATGTAGGTAATTAAGCAGTAAATTAGGCAAATAGTTCAGGTAACGGGAAAGTGGGACGATTGAGATCAATCTAAATGGTGGAACGGACGGCGATTTTTAGGAGCGTTTACCTTTATGCGCATGTTACGACACACGGCAGCGCGCGTTGATCATTTCTACCAGACATTTATAATGTGCTTTACAAATAATTGACCGTTTCTCTTTTGTCTGTGCTTCATGCTAGCTAATGGAAATTGATTTAAATAAAAAATAATTTACATGTTCTTATAAGATTTCATTGAATTTACAAGGACTGGAGCACACCACATTAATTATTGCTATGTCATTGTGGCAAGCTAGCGAGAAATTAGATATAAAAACTGAGCAAAAACTATATATAATTACCATTAAAATGACTCGGGCATGAAAATTAATCAAATGGATTTGGAAGAACATTATTATTCCTGTCAACAATAGGAGGCCAGGTCTTTTGTTAAGAACTTTTGTTTTGATTTCCCCTCACACTCTCTCCATACTTTGTTCTGCAGCATAAATATTCCTCTTCTTATTCCAGATATGTTTACAAGGGTGGCCGCAGAGGACTACTTGAATTACAAGGGATGTAATCCCATCCTTTCCTGCTCTTGGTTCTGGTGGTTACCAAGCTCACATAGATACTTCAGGTCACCACGGTTGGTCCTGCTGGGCTCCCATCGTTATTTCAGGGTGCTGGAGCTATAGGACGAGGCTGAGCATGGGAAACCTGGGTTCAGCTCGCAACCTCCTCCTCAGATATCATCTGAATTCTAGGGCTTGGTACCCAACCCATCATACGGGGTTGCTTTTTCATCCCCTCCTCCTTGCTTTCCCTGTTTCTGCATACATTTGGGCAAAAAACTCTTGTCATCCCTCTGGGACAGCAGTGTGTCGGTGTAGATTTACCGTTGTGTGGCTGGATATTCACTTTCAGGCGTGTTATGAAACAGCTTTATTATTGTTCATGTTTTTTAAATCAATTGCTGCTAACAAAGTGGTGCATTTTTCTTTTTCCAGGCAAACCAGTAATGATAGTAACTGAATACATGGAGAACGGTTCTCTGGATACGTTTTTAAAGGTAATACCTGGGACTCTTTTCCAGGGTGACCTTGGTTAAAGTTTGGGGTCTTTGCAGATGTTTAATAGCAATGAAAATGTTTGCTGGGTGCTGGCCCAGCTGTTAATGATGTCTGGAAGCAGGATTATCTCACTTCTCTGATCTATATTTCTATCTATATATCTATATTTCTATCTACATATTATAGAAATATAGATATATGGATATATAGAGATATATGGATATATATTTTATACAGATATAGATATATGTAGATGGATATAGAGATAGAGATAGATAGAGATAAGTATTTTTATATATATCTATCTGTATATCCATACAGCAGCATGAAGGACCTGGTTCATGCATTGATACAAACAGGTAAGTACAAAGTGGAGAACATTATGTTTATTTCAGAAGGCGGTCTGCCTTGTGTGGAAATGATTTCCTTATCCTGCAAAACTTCTTGATATTTCCAGAGCACATCCACACTGTGTCATGACAGATCCCAGAGGGATTTTCATGGCAAAGAGGTTTTCATGGCAGAGGTTTTCGTGAAATGTAAGAGCTAGAGAAGGGAGAGTAGGGCAAGTGGTTAGAAATGCAGTGTAATAACATGGGAGGAGCCCCTACCCACAAATATCCACATGTGGACCTCTGCTGCATGATTTACATGCAGCTTGGTACCATTCACTTGGCTGGCTCGGAGACAGCCCACCCTGGTGCTTTTATACACATAACTACATGTGTTCACTCCTAGTCGCAGTCTCTTCATCAGTCACCACTGGAAATAGCTGGCTCCTTGATTTCCAGTTAAAAGACCTACATTTCCTTAGCTTTGTCTCCAGAGATCCTAATCCAAACAGCGAAACTTTGCAAAGCTTTGTGGTCAGAGCATGAGAGTAATGAATTATTAATTTCCCCGGTTTTGATCCCTGGAGACTCGCCTTTGCATTTTGATTCCTGCACATGCGATGCCGAGGGTGCAGAGACTCCCAGCTGATCAAACGTCTCCTTCCTCTCTGCAGAAGAACGACGGGCAGTTCACGGTCATTCAGCTGGTCGGGATGCTGCGAGGCATCGCATCGGGAATGAAGTACCTGTCTGACATGGGTTACGTACACAGGGATCTCGCCGCCAGGAACATCCTCATCAACAGCAACTTGGTCTGCAAGGTGTCCGACTTCGGCCTCTCCAGAGTTTTGGAAGATGACCCTGAAGCGGCGTACACAACCAGGGTGAGTTACCAGGGTACTGAACTGATTAAGCTCAAGAAAAATGTATTCCCTGCCACGTTTTGGTATTCAAGCTCTTTAGCAAAGAGGTTTCTACAAATCCGGAGTGCGTGAGGGTTTGGTGATGTCACCAGTTAATCATTACCAGATTAATTTCGCAAATGCCTGTCCCTTTGTAGTGAGGATGGCCAATTAAGGCAGAACTTAACTCATAACTTTCAAGTTCACGTTGGGCACCTGAGTCAAACAGCAAATTTTCATAGGTGCCGCACTCCCAGCTGCGTTCTGTCCTCTTCGGTGAGTACCAGCAGGAGGAAGGAGGAGGAGGAGTAGTAATTGCTTTGCTTAGGCACCCATGCAGAGATGGAAGCCATGATCTTCTGGACAATTTGCCCCTTTTAAATCATTGCCAAGCCTATAACGCCTGTTGCAAAGGATGCACGTTACCCTCAACATTACCCTATTGAGGGTGATTTCTGCCAGTCAGAGAAAGGGCTGCTTCAGCCTCAAGTGGTCTGCCCCTTTTCATTCTGGATCCATCCTTTCAGGGCATCACGAGCCCACCCATCCCAGCACTGTGGAGAGGAGATGGACAGCACAGGCTCGGAGAGAACCTCCAAAATTCATGGCAGTGATTGGCATGCCCAGATGTTGCCTATTAATGTGATTTTTTACCCTGAGGGTATTGTCTTGCATGCAATGGAAGCTCTCTGGGTCGCATTCCCAGTTCCCCACGGAGATTTTGGCAGTCTGGGAAAGGCCTTTCAGCTCTTGGCAGGCACAGCCCCACGGCGGGGCTCGGTGCACGGCTGGAGCGCAGCATCCCCATGGGCTGGAGGGCTCTCGGCCAGCCCCAGTGTGCTGCCATGTGCTAATTGGCACTGCCGAGAGTCTGGCCCCTCTCTTAAGGCATGCACTGATAAGCCCGTGAACAGTTCTTGGAAGAAAGGAGTTTTTAAATTTTGCTTGGAAAATCTGTTCCAAATTCTATCTTTTTCCAATAACAAACACTCCTAGGGGGCATTCAGGGAAACTTTCCAATATTTAGCTCAACACCGAGAGGAAAGGACTTCACAGTAAAATATATTTTGATATAAATCAAGGGAGATGACTCTTTAAACCCAATGAGAAAAGCTTTTCTAAATCCAAACTCCCCTTTCCCTCCCTTTTTCCTTCTCAGAGCTGGTCTGAAGTTTGATTTCTGAAGCAGCAGACGGGGGATAAGGAAATAGCAAAGCACATTTGACAGCTGTGGCATCGTTTGCGGTCCCACGGCAGAGGCCAAGCAGGTCTTTTGCACACACAGGTTTCTGTGCCCGCTGCACAGATCTCTCTGCAGGATCGGGACCGTGTTATAGGGAAAAAAAATAAAAAATAGCATTACTTCCGCAGCAATTTGCATGAAGCCCTCGTTAGATCAAAGCCTTCCTTGGCTTCAGAGCTGTCTGTTCCTCCCCCGCTCGCGCTCAGAGACGGAGGAACTCTATTCCCCTACCAAGCCGTGCAACATAATTGAGATGTTGATCCTATACATGTCCCAGCATTCAAACAGCATTCAAACAACAAACCTTCAGGACAGCCAATTAGTAGGCAGCCTACAAATGCTTATGGGCTGAGATAATGTGGAAAGGGGCCCCATGCTGTCAAACAGATTTACTTTAAAATTCGATGTCTCTTTCCGGAGAGAAAATAACATCCCTCGGTGCTCTAAGAAGTGCTGTTTCGTCCTCTTTTGCATGTTTCTTGCCCTCCTCTGCAATCTGCTTTTTGGATTTTAATTTTTTTTCTCCTTTTCTTTTCGTTGCAGGGAGGGAAGATCCCCATCCGATGGACGGCACCCGAAGCCATCGCCTTCCGCAAATTCACGTCGGCCAGCGACGTCTGGAGCTACGGCATCGTGATGTGGGAGGTGATGTCGTACGGCGAGAGACCTTACTGGGAAATGACGAACCAAGACGTAAGCACATGCGGGAGCTGCCGCGCGATGGGATTTTGAGGGCTCGGCGTTTGTGCTCCAATTGGAGAGGCAGGATTTGGGACAAGAGGAGGAGAGCCGCTGTAAAAGCAGCTTTGCTCCCCGGTGCCAGATTAATCCGATCCGTGCATTTGATGCTCCTTTTTGCAGCAGCCCAGAACAGGCTGTGCGCAGGGGGAGATGTGTCTGCCTGTGCAGAGGCAAGCCTGCGTCCCCCAGGAGAGCGCTGGAGCTTCACTAATGCTGTTAGAGCTGGAGCCTGTCCCTCCTCTGCTTAATGACAACGGTCTGCCAGGGGATAGAGCTGATAGCTGGCAGCGTTTCAATGGTGTGTTCAAACCCCTGCAGCCACGGGAAGCAGAAACTTGAGAGAGTCGTGGAGAGGGCTTTTGTTTCGCTGCATAAAAGCTGGGTGATTTGTTCTGGTGACAGCAGTCCAGGGAGCTGCATCTCTGTTGCCCTTGTGTCGCTGGTCTAGAGAGCACAGGTTTGCTCTTGTTGAGAACATCATTTAAGTTTGTTTGTACAGCACCCTTTGAGTTGTGTCCCCTTGCTCCTGGGCCCCAGTGCTCCCTCAAGCCTCCGACCTTAAGGCTACCCTCTGAAGCATCTCCAAACAGGGAGGTACCTGGGGAAATTATCCCCTCCCCTTCAAGAGATCCCCCAGTAAGATCTCTTGATCCTACTGCAGGGCTACCTCCTACTGTAAACATCTGTACTTATCTAAGGGTAAAAAAATGTAAGCCTGAGGTTGCCAAATGTTCTGGGGCCCCTCCTTCCTCTTCACATCTTCCAGAAACATCACATGTGAAGGTCTCTGAGGATGCCAGCATGAGATCGGGGTCACTGTGAGGCATGCAGGGCCCCCAGAGCAGGGAGAAAGGAGGAGGGAAAATGCAGCAATCTGGATGTGGCAAACAGAGTCATTCCTCATCCCTTCAGCTTCATCTCTGCAGCCCTGCCACTCATGGAGGTGCTGCTGCCAGCTGGGCGAAGCAAGCACATCCTTGCTCCTCACGGGCTTCCTCTGGTCCTCAGCACAACACCTGATGTTTCATCCCTTTTTTGAGCAGCATCCCTGTCCCTTTGACTTTCTGCCCTTTTGCTGGCAGCAAAAGCTCTGGCCGAGCCTTCTGTTTCTTTTGTGTTTTGCCTGTGGGGCTTTGCCATCAGTGGATGTTGCTACCTGTCACGCCGAGCTGCTGCCTCATCTCGCGTCGAGTCCAAGGCGCAGAAACGAGCGGTACCTTTGAGACGAGCACGGTGTTTGGCATGAACGCCCCACCGCTTCCGCCTTGCTGGGGCTGTCACATTTGCAGGCAGTTCGGTAAAGCAGTGTGTATCTACACAGGGATTTATCTCAATCAAAGAGAGAGACTTTCTTCCGTAGCCTGTGCAGAAAACGCCAGCTATTGAGCGCTGTGAGTGTCTTTAATGCTGATGTGATGGCAGAGCACAGATGTTGTTCAGTAAATGCCAGGCTGAGATTCAGGCTGGTGAAGTAAAGCTTGGTGGCCAGGGGAGTCCCTTGTCTGGATGGTAACGCTATGGACATCCACACTTAGCAGTACTGCTCCAAAAAACCCAAATGCCTCTGTGCACCACCGGGTACAGGGTGAATTTCACACTGGCCCAAGAAGAAGCAGCTGAAGGTCTGGTTTCTTTAGCAGCAGAAAGCAGAGGACTGGTGAGACATTTATGAGCATCGGTTGCTGCTCAGGCTTTGCTTGAGTTACCTCTCTGTAACATCTCCAGGTGGCACACGTGTACCTGGATGGCAGTACCCTGGGAAACTTTAATTCAGTGTGGTGGCAGAGAAATGTTTCTCATGCAGTTTATGCCCTCCTCCTTCATCTTCTGAAGGCCTCCTTGTGTCAGCAGAAGAACCAGAGGTGTTAGATACAGCGCTGGCTTTTGTGCAGGGGACCAGGGGGCTCTGCTCACATGAATTTCGGACTCTATTACACACACGTCGTTCGCAGGCACAGTCAGAGATGAGCAAAACGGTTCTCACCACATTACAGCTGGATTGCTTTAAAGGAGTTGCAGTGCCGTAGGGCAGGCAGCGTTGTAGCTGCCAAGGCTGCAAACCACGTTTTAAAGTCGTGCTGGTTTCTGGATGACCTTCTAAAAATACGCTCCGACTCGACCACAGGATAAGACTTTGATGCAGGGATTGTTTAGAGGAGTTTTGTGGCCTGTGGTATACAGGTTGGTAAGCTAAATGGTCACAGCGGTTGCTTTTTAGTCTTCAGGCTGGTGGTTTTATGAAAACCTGAAGCTAAAAGTGTTTCCTGGAGTAGGCTATCCCCAGTTGTCCTCTCCCAGGTGCCCTCAGTTCAGTCACCCTGATCCATAAGTGAATAGTGCTTGTCCAAAAGAGGAAAAGGGACAAAAGTGCCTCCTTTTAGGTGCCATTTTTAGCTCTTCAAGTCTTACAAAGCAGTGCACATCTATGAACTGAACAGCAAGTGGGCCATTTTCTTATTTTGTAAGCATTGTGGTGGCTACAAGGGACTTATCTTTGTCGTTTCATTCCTTTGCTCCTGCTATTGCCAGACCCCCAAGGCACCTTCAGATCCAAGGGTACATTTCAGCATCCTAGCTCCTCGCAGTACTTTGAGGCCATTTGCATTGTATGAACGACATCCTGTAAATTGAGTTAACGCTATTGATTGCGATGCTGCTGCCAGGAATACCGAGCACACATAACCCCATTGCAGATGTAGTTCAGAGATTCTGAGCTGGTGCCAGATGGTCTGCTCCCCGTCTTGCTACTATTTTCTTTCTGCTACAGCTGGAGGATGATCCGTTATTGTTATAAATACAGACATGGACACAGAAAATAATGTTCTTGTGGCTCTGCCACTCTGAGGCTTTTTTTTTTAATAGAGCAGCTGCAAATCTGGGGTCAGGGACCAGCTGAAAAGCACGATGTGAGGAATAGACAGTACAGATAGTGTAGCGTGGTGGGGCTGGTTTTTGAGCCAGGACATAGAGGAGGTTGCGTTGCAGGCAATTCAGGTTGGGTGGAGAGCGGTGCAACTGCTCCACCGACAGATGAAACCTTAGATGAGCATAAAAAAAAGAGCTGCAGGTCTTGTGGGCCAGAAATTCAGACGTGCTTCAGTACCGAACTTCTCCACTACCTACGTCCTCAGGGGATTTGAGGTTCCCGCTACTGCACTCAGACAGCCCAGCTCATTCCTGGGACTCTTGCACTTGGCGACAAGCCCTGTGGTGGAGAACGATTTGAAAGCAATCCATGCAGTCCCGAATTTCAGAGCAACCTCCTTTCCTGCAATGCCAGCCTGACGTGGCTCTTCCTGTACTGCTCGTATGGTGACTAAAGATCAGGAAAACAACTTCCATGCTAACCACAGGGCCTTCTTTTTAAACACGGGATGTTTTCAAACCCTAAGTGAGAAGATGCCTAGAATGCATGGCATCTGAGGCACTCCTTGGAATCTAGCAGTGACGCACTGCGGTTTTCCACAGAGCAGTAGCTGCTTCCAGCTCCTTTTTGGTCAATGAGTCTTGGGAGCACAGAGTGTGAAGATGGCACTGAGGACCTGGAACGTGTCCAGGTTGTAGCAAGGTGGGCATTGGTCTCTTCTGCCAAGTAACAAACAATGGGATGAGAGGAAATGGCCTCAAGTTGCACCAGAGGAGGGTTAAATTGAATATTAGGAAAAACTTCTTTACTGAAAGAGTGGTCAAGCACTGGAAGGGGCTGCCCAGGGCAGTGGTGGAGTCACCATCCCTGGAGGTGTTCAAAAATCTGTAGATATGGCACTTTGGGACATGATTTAGTGGGCATGGTGGCAGTTGGACTTGATGAACTGAGAGGTGTTTTCCAACCCTAATGATTCTATGGGCTGCTGGGACTCTTTTGGCACAGTCACAGACCTTCGTGGCTTGAAACAAGAGCTACGTTCTCATAATTGTAAAGGGTTCAAAATGGGAACTGCTGGGCTTGGAACCCTGCTGTCAATCTGCCCTGAACTGGGGAAAACAAGTTGTGTTCTTCAGTTCTGCCTTCGTTTATTCATTTCTGCCTTGCAAGAGGGCAGACAGCACATGTGTATGTCATTTATTTTAGATACAGAACCATAGATGGTTTGTATTTGAAATCAGTGCTACAACCCTCCCCTGGTTTTAATTTACATACTCTTGGGCTGACATTTGAAATTCCTGGCAGAAATGTGGCCACACTGAGAAACGACTAGACCCAGACAGTATTGAATGATATATGAGATGGTTGTTCTGCCTCTGCCTTGAATCCATCCATCAATTAGCATTCAAAGTCTCTTTTGAAATGCAGTCAGACTTTTATTACTGTAATACAAATTTGTGGTCTAGCACATGCCTTTTCATTTAAAAAGAAGCCAACATCTGAATAAACAATATCGCTGCACTCCAAGAAGATGCCAGAAAGCCCCGTAGGCTGCTGTTTGTGGACTCCGGGCAGGATCCGGGAGCTTCTTGGAATATAATCTGCAGAGCTGAGCTTTGAACAAGTGCAACCTGAGATGTGGACCCCTGGTTGCAACAGTGCCTGGGCTTTCTAGAGTCATTTTGTGGTGACCAAAAATTAAGTTATTCAACCATCCTCTAGAAAATAGGGCCCCTCGCTACAAAAAGGAAGTGATGGAGTCACCATCTCTGGAGGGATTTAAAGGACAGGTAGATGAGGTGCTTAGAGACATGGTTTAGTGGTGGATGGGTTATGGTTGGACTCGATGATCTTAAGGGTCTTTCCCAACCAAATTATTCAGTTATCCTATTCTAAAAGACATTGGGGTGTGTTGGGTTTGCCCATCTTGGGGAGCAGTTGGATTGTACATGAACATATTGCTGATCCCCAAGTTCTCTGTTTAAATCAATTTGCATTTGGGGAAAAGGGTGAGAGGAAGCAAAGCAACCCATCAGGCTGTGTTTTGTCTCCTGTAGGTGATTAAAGCCGTGGAGGAAGGCTATCGCCTGCCAAGTCCCATGGACTGCCCTGCTGCTCTCTACCAGCTAATGCTCGACTGCTGGCAGAAGGACCGCAACAGCAGGCCCAAGTTTGACGAAATTGTCAGCATGTTGGACAAGCTCATCCGTAACCCCAGCAGCTTGAAGACGTTGGTGAATGCATCGAGCAGGTACACGCTCAGGCCAGAGCCATTTCTCGGAGCAAGACCCTTGTCTGAATACCCGCCCCTGGGGTTGAGTTATTATTTATCCTGTGTGCGTCTGTGGGTGGATGTTCCTCCTGCTTCGTTATGTCCAGGGGAGTTTTCCCAAATCAACTTTTTCTGTTTAAATTGGCAGGCAGGGGAGCAATTTGGTTACTCTATAAAAGCAGTGCTGCTGCCACAAAGAAAATTACCACGGCCTGTCTTTCAGAACCTGGAGTTTCAGCAGTATTTATAGGTGTACGATAAAACTATCTGTGCTCTACCCCAAGGTTAGAGAGAGCACGACTTGAGTGCATGAGGTAGATTGTAAACACTGCTCAGATTATCTGCCTGTTGACTTTATCTGGGTAATACAAACGAAGAGCAACTCTTGGGGGAACTCAGGATGTGCAAAGCTCACGGATGTCCAAGTGCATTCTCCCACAACTGTTCCCAGGCGTGTTTAGCTGCCACCTCCAGTTCTGATGGTCTTGGTAACCACAAGAGGATCTCTGTGGCTCTCAAAGAGTTGCATGCAAACCATTTGCTAAAACCGCTAATGGAGCAGCCTGTGTGCAATTAAACATGAGTCTCGATAGCTACACAGCTACAGAAAACATAAATATAGTCAAGAGATAAAGGTGCATTTGGAGAAAGAGAGCTTCATACTTTTTAGTGAGTTTTAGTATTGGGGTCTCTGCTATGCTGGAGTCTTGGAGATACTTTATCTTTTTTCACTGTAAGTATTATATTTCTAAGCCCCTGTGCTGTGCTAATCACTCAGTCCCTCGCAAGGTCATGAAGGAGTGGTGCATATAAACCAGTGCTGCTTCACTGGTGGCAGTGGAGTTCCCCTGATAGACACTGGAAGAGGCCCTTCAGAAAAGCTGCTTCTCAGAAGAGATAAAAAGGACACGTGCGTGTCTTTATAAAAAATGTCCCCATGCATGGCATCTCATGCACTGGAAGAGAAGAAACGTGAAATCTCCGTGCATTGAATTTTTAAATACAAAAGAGATCCGACTCCTCAGGCTGTTTTACATGCATCATTAACCATCTGAGGAAGAAATGACTCTTATTAGCAATTAGGTGTAATGTCAGTCAGGAGCAAACCTTCAGGAAAAGGTTTATGAGAGCACAAAATATGGGATGTTTCTCTTTTATTTTCATTTCAGAACAGTCATCTTCAAGGCCTGTTATGCAGTGGTTTGTGCACTCTTACACCAAACTGTTATGCCAGAAAAGAGGAAAATAGGCAGTAAACCATTTCCATGAGCTGCTAAGCACTTTGCCAGTGTTTTATTCCATGAACAAATCCACACATTTCCAAACCTTTTCAAGGCTGCTGTGGGTATTTTCGATGTGGATAGAGCACCTGAACAGCCAGGCTTTGAGGCTATGTTTCTATAACCATAGATTGCCGTGCCCAGACCATAGTAATTCCCTATGAATCATAATTTCAACATACAGCAGCTGTAAAGGGTTTTTTTATATATGTAATGTATTCTTTATGGAAATTCTCATTAATGCAAATAAGGGAGGAAGCCACTCTCTACATTACGGCGTGTGCATATCAGTAGGTACCTCCTGACATTAGTGATGAAAATCCACTTCTCATTATGATTACTTAGGAGTTTTGAATTCCTCATGTGTATAAAATGTTATGGGAAGCCATTATGCTCCTGGTACTGCAAGTATTCACGTTTTATTGGACCCTTCAGCATTGCTATTAAATAAACAAATAATACTAATGTGCTCATAAAATATATGAAGATTCCTGAAGTGCTATAATAATATAATATCCCAGCTCTCTTTCTAGTTGAAAGTCTTTTAAGTGTAACTCTCACCGTCAGAGGCTGACCCAGCAAACGTTTTGAGTCCTTTTTTTTACCTGTTGGTGATCATCTTTATGCGAGGCTTATGTTAGCTGTATGTCCTGGTGTACAGAGCAGGGGAAGAAGCTGGTTTTCCTCATGACTGACCTTGGACAAGCCCCCTTTGCTCCCCGCACATCATTCGTTGGGTGGTGGACCCGTACGCAGCACGGGTCACTAGTGCCAGGTACCACATGGGTGTTTCTGCTGCGGCAAAGGGTTATTATTTGCCTGAATTGCTGCTTTCGTGGGTGGCATAGCCAAGCAGGTAGTAATTGCCGTGTGGAGGTTTGGAGTGAGGGTGCGGGAGCAGGAGTCTGCCTCTGGTTTCAAGGCTGGAGCGTGGTTGGAGCATTGCTGCTCTCTGCAGGGCTCACCGGAGGCTGCCCGCAGCCAAAATCCCGACCTGATTCTGCGGGAGCAGCCCCTGAAGTGTTAACAGCAGCCTGCCGTTGACAGCCGCTGCTGGGAAATGTAATTTGGGTTTCGGCTTCCAGGTTCTGGGCTGTCTTAAGTTAATTATGAGCTTTAAAGGCAGGGGAGGAAAACAGAGTGGGAGGGGTGAAACCCAAGACCTTGAAGTAAGAGTGACTGGGGAAGCCTGGTAGAAGAGAAGCCTAGAGGTACTGGGATGGACACTAGTCCTCTCCTCCTCTTTCTGCTTGCAATGTGGACCAGAAATGGCAGTAACTAACTCAAAATTGGGCAAAGTCACAAGTGAAGTGGTTTGTTTAATCCTTTGCATATCAGCAGTCACTACAAAAACATGATGAAAAAGCCACCTTTCCTGTATAAAAACACAAGCGACTGAGTCACGTTGTGTTCATCTTGGTACTGATTCTGCTTCCTTCTCTGTTTTTGCCTTTGTCTTCAGAGTATCAAACCTGTTGGTGGAGCACAGTCCAGTGGGGAGTGGTGCCTACAGGTCGGTGGGTGAGTGGCTGGAAGCCATCAAAATGGGTCGGTACACGGAGATCTTCATGGAGAATGGATACAGTTCGATGGATGCTGTGGCTCAGGTGACCCTAGAGTGAGTAGTGTCCATTTTCACCTCATTTGCTGGAATTGCAGGAGTGGGGAAGGCAAACATATTCAAACATATGTAGGGAGGAGGGAAAGGGAAAACATTACCCTATTTGCAGTCAGCAGTTTCTCTTTTAGCATCTGTATTGATGATAACAAGTGCAGGCAAGACTAAAGCTTACGGTCACTGCATTGGCAGCCAGTACTTTGGCTCCTTTACTCACAGAAATTAATGTTTGAGTTTGAATAATTGACAGCCTGTCCTCTCAACATAATAGCAGTTGATTATTTGGAGTTACAGACAAATAAAACAAAAACCAAGCCACACTACTAGTGAATATATAGGAGCTAGAGTCCCCACTGAGCTATACTGGCTTTACACCAAATTAGCTGGTTTCAGGGTTGATGTGGACATAGCCAGGGGTACAGTCAGGCCCAGTAAAGCATGGAAATAGTATTTAACACTAACAAAAATGAGCATAGATACAGCTGACGTGAACAGAAGAGCATCAGCAAACCCACAGCTCTAGGGGAAGGGCTCCCCGGCCAAGACTCTTCCTTCTGAATGCGCCCTTGGTTTTTGCACGTAGGAGTGAGTGCCGTTGGGGTGACAGCACTAAAATGACTTGGTAAATGCCTTGGGGCTGCTGGTTTGTTGTGCTCCACCTTTAATTGCCTATCTTGCTTCCTTAATTATGTCTGTACTTCCCTCCTGCCCCAAATCTTGCCTTCCTAGCTGGGTTACTTGAGCTTAGGTTACTGCAGGCATTGAGGCAGAAAGGGAAGGATTATGCTCCATGCTGCTTTGGAGGAGGCCGTGGCTCCTCCGACCCCATGCAGATGGCCAGTGCAGATATCAAATCAGTGCCAAGGATTAGGAATAAAACAAGGAAAATTGCCCAAACCCTGCAGAACTACAGCATTTCTCCTGTCTGCCCCTGGGCTTGCTGTGGAGCTCACCGTTCAGGGTAGGAGGTCCTTTGCACGTGATGGTAACACCCCCAACTGAGTTCAGTTTTGCCTTAGTGGGATGAGTCAAGCATGGAGCATATAGGAAGAGTAAGAGCATCGCTACTCATTCAGATTTTATTTGCTCCATCCGCATCACCAGTATTTGCCCCTTACACCTGAACTTACCCAGCCTAACTTCAGTCACTCACATGAACCCCTCAGGTAGGGGTGAAGTCCTCTCTGGTGATGTCTAAGGAGCCAGGGCGCATGAATCTACCTAGGTCCTTTTTCAGATGGCTGAGACATGCGGTTTCTCGGCTTAGTCCTGCAATTATGTGTTGCTTTGGGCTTTGAGGACTTCATGGTTCCTTACGTACTCATCTGATGTGGCATTGCTCAGAAGCACCAGGCTTTGGGGTTACATTTAGACTGGTCATCTACAGATGTTGACCAAGGAAGAGGTCCATGCCTAAGGTGTCCACACAGCAGGAAAACCTAGGCAGAGGGTGCGTGGGAAGAGGAGGGATAGGATGAGACAGTAATTTAAGAGAAAGGAAGAACATTGGAGTGTTCCCCTCTGCTGTGCCACCTCAATCTTAGCATCAGAGCAAGTTCTGGTAGAAAATGCGGATCGTATAAACTATATCACAGACTTGTTCCTGTTTGGCTGAATGAGTCATATCAGAAAAGAAAATTAGGTTTCACAAAAGCTTCCGATTTGTTCCTCTTTAGAATTTTACGCAGTTTTAAGAGCTCTAAGAGAAATGCACACAAGTGAAATGCTTAGATTTGCGTCAGAGAAAATGTTGAGTTTGACCCCAACTTAATGGGCATTTTTTACAGTGAATTAGAAATTTGCTTGCTGATATAACTTCAAACAGTCTTAGCATCCCAGCCTGCCAACGAAATTATTCCTAACCTCCCCTTTTGGAGGATTGTCTGCATTTCCCCCAAAGCACACAAGACGCAGTGCACTGTAATATGACGAAAGTATTCATTGAGTTGCCCATTTCTAATTAATAAATAATAGAAGGAACTATTGCAGGTGTGCCAGCTACCAGCTTTTCTTGAGAGTAACATTTCAGATTGTGAAATTATCTCCTTGATTTGACTTAAAAATTTAAATACTTCTGTATGTTTACTCTTTGGTATTCCAGAAATTTCAAAAGTATCCCTCAAAATCTTTTCAGGCCAGAAAGTACTTCAAAATGTTGGGGTTTTTTCCTGTTGACAGTGAACCAAAAAATCCATTAGCCATATGGTTCTAGCCAGAAAGACAAGTTGGTTTAAAACTCTTTAAATAAGATTATAGCTGCCAGAGATGCTCTGACCCTCACCAGCTGCAAAGAGCCCCTAAGACCCCCTCCACTAGGTCCCAGTATGATCTTTATTGCACAAATGTCATCCTTTACTGGCCCCAGTGGAGACACCGTGTCTGAGCGGCTCAGCTTCAGCTTTCTTCAGGGTTTTCACAGCAGCAGAGCAGCACCGAGGAGCCGATGCCTCAGAGCCTCGGGAGCTGCTGGAGGGAGGTGTGGGGTTGAAGCTGAGGTTTTATGAACCCATCTTGCGTTTCAGTTGGAAAAAAAAATGCAAGTTGAAAAGCTTTGACCTCAGGCAAGGGCTGAGTGAAGCGGCAGTGCAGGAAACAAAATTGTCTGTGAATGGGTATCCCGCAGGTGGCTCGACAAGCTTTTGCTGGCCAGTTTTACCTAGCTATAAGAAGACAGGCACCATCGACCCCGTGCATAGCATTCAGCCTGGGTTACATCATCTTCCCAAGGCTGAGGCTGTTGGCATGACTGTCGGCAGCTCACCTGGTACTGATTTCACTCTTAAAATGTGACTCTTATACCAAGAAAAAATAAGTCAAATGAATTGTAAATAGTAAATCCCACCCCTCCCCAGGCAGAGATGCCTGCACCAGTCAGGCTTGGTTGTTGGTGCATCCCATGCACCTTTGCATTGCAGCGGTGGCTTAGCAAGAGGCTGGACCCCACTCAGGTTTATTTTGTGAACTCTTCATTAAAAAGCCAACCAGCCATCCAAATCAAGACTTTTCTCATCCCTCTCAGATAGAGTAAAAAAAAAAAAAAGAGCCAAAGGACCAGATTCTCAGCTGTTTAAAAAAAGGGAGGAACCATCGCAGTGGCTTTAGAGGAAAAGTGTCGCATGTGAAGCCCTGAACCGCATGCTCAGGCTGACGGAAACTGTCAGATTGCCCTTAAAATCAACAAAGTAAGGGAGAGAAATGGCTCCTGGGGGAGGATCAACTCTCATGTGTTCACTAGAAGATAAATACCTGAACAAGAAAGTCCTTTAAAGGTTAATATACTGGGGGTTTTGGCTTTCCAGAGGTTTTCTTTTTTTTTCTCTCTCCCTGTAAAAGGGAACAACAAAACATCTTGTACCCTGCAAAGGAGAATTCAGGTTAAATGTTCCTTGTCATTTTGAATAAAGGCAACTGTTTGGTATATTCCAGAGCTGGGACTTGGGGGGATCGGGTGAAAAGATGATCTGAACATTTGAAAATAGCTTGCTTTCCCCACATGACTTCAGTAAAACATTCTTTACAATTTAAGAGGTTGCCTTCAAATACCATCCAAAATGATATTCCCCAAATCCAAACTGCGTAGGAGACAGATGTGGAAATTACGTGGAAAAAGGAGAGCTGGATAATTGCTGCCAGAAAAGGCAGGGGAAAACAAACAAACGAAAAACCAAACAAACCCGTGATGAAGCTAAAGAATTTCTAAAATCCACTGAAAAAAATTCGGAGGGGTTGGCCATAACACTGACAGGACTGGTGACTGTGGGCACCCAGCTTCTGGCCTCTTTACGGGACCTGGTTGAGATGGTAGATGTTCAGCTTTTTTCTCCTTTTTTTAATAGATCCCCCTGCCCAGCATGCAAAGCAAAATCCCAATTGCTGCCCTGCTTCTTTCAAACTGATGTTTTTATTCCAGAAAAGTGTAGTATTTGTGACAAATTTCTGAAAACTAAAGGTTAAAAAGTTAAAACTGGTGAATATCGCCCCAAGTCCTGAGCTCTGCCTGCTTAAGCAAAGTCCTGAAAATGTATGTGTTGAAACCGAGAGTGATATCTACATTTAGCTCTAATTCTTGCAAAGGGACGAATCACCTTGTGAAAAGTGGAGCCTCACCCTCCACCCCCTCTTTCCAACTGGATATCAGACTTGAAGGCAACCTTTCCAGTGGACCAGACCTGCTCTTTAAACTTGTGGACCACCTAGTGACCTTGAGTGTGTCTGGAGCTCTTTCAATCCACTGCAAGAATAACTTTACCAGGACAATACTCAAGAATAGATAGATCCATGACATGAGTTTCAGTCTGACCCTTGACTGGACCAATTACTAACCGTGTGGACTACATACTTCCACCTTTTGAAAAGTCTGTACTCACTGAATCTCAGGACACCCTGTTGTTTGTTATTAGATGAAGAGCTCTGAATATTTGTAATAATATGTGCTGTGTTGCTTTGCCTTGTATTTTTTTTTCTTCTAAAATAAAATAAATTATTTATTACAAGTTACACGGGATGAAGAGCGTTTAAGAGTTCACCTGCTCTAGAGGCTTATTTTTAACCCCAAATCTCCGTCCTGGGATTGTGGTACCGCGTCTGCTTCTGAACAAACCAATTCTTATCTCGTAATCGAGTAGGACGGGAATCACGAACAAGAGCAGGTGAACTCTTAAAAAGACATTTTTTTTAAATCCTCATTTCATGCAAAAGTCCCTGCCAAGAGGATTCCTCTCTCTTTAGCGTCTTCTGAAGGTCTTGGAGGTTGTTCTTCTTTCCCCTCATTCCAACTGATCCGTAACTCTGTGAGTAGTCCCAGCCTGCATGGCCAATTGTAAAGTTGCACCACGTGAAGAAGAGTGGTGAAGTTTGGCCTGGATGGGAAGAGACGCAATACAAAAGATCTGGGGTAGGTTGATGGCTGCCGGCCATGGAGATCTTTCAGGACCCTGGCCCTTGCATGGTTAACGGCTGGTCAGGGGGTTGTATTTTCTGTGGCAATCCCGTCCTAGTCTACGCTGTGTTTGACAAACCGGTCCATGGTGTACAAGTAGTTCTGTTTGTAAATAAAATGTTTTAAATATATTTCTTACAACGTGGAGACCGTGACTTCAACCCTTGTAAATGGAGGATGTTGCAGTGAAGGGGATGCCGTGGTGTCCCTGGCACATCGCAGCTGGGCTTTTGTGTTGTTTGGGATGAGCTGACACCAATTTTCCCCTTAATTTCCTTGGTTTTTTGGTCAACTTAGGTCATTCTCTTAGTGCTGAGTTAGCAAGTGGTATGAATTCCTGCCTATTTCCATTTTCAGCCCTACATGGATGAAAGAGAAGTGAAAAGGAGGGAAACTTCTCCCTGAATCTAGACTCAATGTTGTCTTGTTGCTGGAGAGGGGTCAAGTATTTTGAAGACCCCCATGGCAGATGGATGCATGTATCTTCATGGGGAGCGCCCGTGCCGCAACGACTCCTACAAAACCCAACATCTGGGGTAGGGTCTCTTGCGTGGCAAGGTGGGGTCTTCGTTGTGCCTTTTCTTGCAGGGAATGGCGCATTTCTATTGCAAAGCCCCAGTAGATACCCACAAACATCTCCTCTGCGGAGCTGAACTCAGTGAAATTACAGAAGTTGATTTTTTTGGTGCCAAAACCAGCTGGTTTTGGTACCTGGTTTTGTCTAAAATTGGCTTCTGCCTTTTGTCGCTTGAAGTCCTTCAGCACTGGATGCACAGGAGCGTGTAAAGTGCTGTAAACCACTCTTGAAAATGAGAATTAAAGCTTCTGGGTTCTTCTGGTCAGTTCTTGGAAAGTTTTGTTGCCAGCTTTGTGAAGTGCAAGGTGGCTTTTGAATAAAGCTGCTGATTTTATCCTGGGAGAGCATATCTGGCTCAGGAGCTGTGGTCTGGGTTAGACTTCTGGTCCATCTTTGTGGAGGAAAAAAGACCCCACGGTGTATTTTTCCCCTCTCTGAGGAGTCCTTTGGCCGATGGCTCCGCATTTCAGAGGATTCAATATTGAGTAAAAAAATAAAATAGACTGGATCCCCTGGTGAGCAGCAAATGGATTGAAACCATAAACTCCTTTTTCTATTTTCTCTCTTGGAAATCAATGAGGGGCTCCTCAAGGTTATTGGGTGATGGGGGCTACTTTAAGGGAAAAAAAGAAGCTGTGTAGTGCATAGCTTTTCTGATTAGGCTGTATGTGAAGCACCAAGAGGTGCATGCCTTTCTCCTAGTTTCAGGCTGTTTTGTCTGGATCACACGCAGGAGTATCAGAAATGATACAGATGTGAAATACGCGGTGCTGGATTTTCAAAAGAGCTTGGCTTGCACTTCAGATACCCCCTCAGAAATTACCTGCATTTTCAAAAAGTGCCAGCAGAGCAGCACTCAGCAGGGGGAAGATGGATGTTGGCTCTCTTAAAAAATCAGGTCCTGTACTGTTTTGGGTTTTGGTTTGTTTGGGGATTTTTTTTAATCTCTGGTGTGAACTTCCAACTGTGCTGTGTACATAAAATAAATTGCATGTAACAATAGCATTACTACATTTTCCTTCGTTATTAAGATGGCTTGCTGAACTAGTTTCACAATCCAGTGGAGGCCGAAATGAAAGCGTGTCCCCCTGAGAAGGTAGACGTCTTCTGCAGGTGCTGCAGCCCTTTCCGCCGCGTAAGGAGCGTTGCTGTTGTATCTCATTGACCTCCCTTGCTCCTTGCCCCCTACGTTGTGATTTCCCCTATGCATCGGCGAAAGGCATCGCCAAAAAAGGGTACGATAATGAAATGAAGTGTTTAGCCTCGAGCAGAAAAACTGGTATTTTCCAAATCAAAAGGCTGAAAGTGTGACAGTCCTTGGAGAACAACAGCTCTAGCTTTTGGCTTCAACCAGCCTACGTGTTAATGTATCAACCTTCGCTCAGGATTGCTTTTCATTTAAAGCAGTGCTCATCTGTAATTTTTGGATGTGGATGGTTGGTTGTATTCACACAGGAGTCTCAGTCCAGAGTACGGAGCTGCTGAGAGAGGTGCACCTCCATGGGTAGCTCACTTTTGGGGGTTGTTGCATGTGTTCACCTCGGTGAGCTGGAGGCCAGGTTTGCAATATCTCAGGTGATGGTTGGGCTCCCAGATGTCCTGGTTCTTGCATGTACCAGCCTCGCCAGTGTGGTTTCCAAAAAACACCCGTGTGTTTGAGGAGATCACGTCCCTCTGGCTTTCAATGGAGAACCTCCTAAAAGGCTGCTCTGGGATTCATGTGTGTGTTGGCAGGACCGTAGGGCCCTACTTTGAAAACATCCTTTATTCAGTCCAGCTTGGATGTAGAAGGAGAGGGGTTGATACTTCTCTGGTGGCCATCTTCAGACAAAACCCCACATCTCCTCCAAGTCAAGCTGCTTCTCCAGCAGTCTCGGTGTCTTGCGTTGGAAATATGGATGGACCCGTCTTGATCTTTCTTCTGAGGTTTTATTTATACAATTTCTTTGCAAATGCTTCCCCCCTATAAAGAAGTTACATTAATGATGGTTGGACTTGATGATCTTAGAGGTCTCTTCCAATCTTAATGATTCTGTGAATACTTATTATTATACTCTAAGAATTATACTCTACCAGGACCCATGGTAGTACCTGGCTTTAGATGTGTCATTGAATCTGATCACCCAAGGTCCTGCCTTAGTACCTCCAAGGGACAACTTGTCCCACTCCTGTCTTTGGACGGGATAAATTGTCCCCTGGAGGAGCTTCTTTCACACCACTGACATAAACCTTGCTGATTGCCTTTGTCTAGACACCTACATTTTAGAGGGCTTGAGCTTCTGAGAAGACAATCTTTCCTCCTCATTCTGCATTTCACATCAGCTGTGTCCTTTTACAGCTCTGCGTGGTATTGGCAACCCAATAGACTCAACACAAGCACCTTTGGCTTGTAGAATTCACCCCAAAAAACCCCAAACATAGGAAGATTTGCACAGGCCCAGAGGGGACCTGTTTGCCAATTCCTGTTGACTTTATGGGGTCTTTGGGGTGGTGGCCGTGCTCAGGGCTTTTGCCAATCAGCTCTGTCTAGGAGCTGGCTCTAGGATTTTGGTTTGTTGTATCTTTGGCTTTGCCTTGTCTGAAGAGGAAGGAAGCGTGGCTTGACCTCACTCCTCGCTGCTCGTATCCGAGACCAAATACCAGCCTCTCCCAGGAGAAGAGGAAACTGCAACGTGGGCTTTCTTTCACAGCTTTTCTCTTGGAAATAGGACTTCTCATGCCTAGCGGAGTCCTTGGCCAAAGCCGATGCTGATGCTTCACTGTCCAGCTTTTTCCCTTGGCCGGCGAGGTGATCCTCAGCCATTTCAGATGCCATCAACCATTAAAAAAGTAGTTTTAAAGATGGGGAAAAATAAACTTGCCTTCTTTATAGAGGGCTTCGGGAGCCGCCAATGGTAAGGGGTAGGCGGTGGCAGCAGCATCGGCGCGCGCGGCGCGTGGTGTGCGCGGCAACGTGTGCCTGAGCAGTCCCTGGAACCAACGTCTGCTTTCTCCCACAGGGATTTGAGGCGGCTGGGAGTGACACTTGTTGGTCACCAGAAGAAGATAATGAACAGCCTTCAGGAGATGAAGGTCCAGTTGGTGAATGGGATGGTGCCGTTGTAACGCGGTTTTAAAGTCACTTCCTCGAGTGGGTTGGTCCTGCACTTTGTACTCTAGCCTGGAGATTTATTTTGACTAAAAAAAAAACACAAAAAAAAGAAAAAAGGGAAATTCAGTGGTTTCTAGAACTGAAGGACGTTGGCCTCTGCCGCAGCGTATCGAAAGCAGTGTTTGACTAAAGTTTTCCTTTTCTTCCTATTTGTGTCCTCATTTTCATGAAGTAAATGTAAGATGCATGGAACATGGAAACGGATCTGCTGTACGTGAGGTTAACCGGTCTCTTACGCTTCAGCGACGACGACACCGAGCCTTCTCGCCACGCGTTGTCTGTACACGGGAGAGAGATAGATAATATATATAGCACCTTTATATACTGAAGTTCGGCAGCACATGGTAATATTTCCAAGGACTGACTTGAGCCAGGAGGAGTTTTGTAGCCACTCGTGGGCTCCCAAAAGCTGCGATTTACTGGAGTTTACTTTTGAGTCTTACTTGTCTACAGAAGTGTATTGAAGAGCAATATGGTTAGATTATTTCTCGATAGATATTTTGTTTTGTACATTTAAAGAAAAGAAAAGAAATGCTGTTACACAGCGTTAAGTTATAGAGACTAGTGTATAAACATGTTGCTTGCTCCATGGCAAATACAATACAGGGTGTATATTTTTTTTATTTTCCTCTCTCTGTGTTACCAAGTTCTTTTCCTTTGCTCTTCTGGGAGGATAACACATGACGAAGATGTATATAATGTACAGTTTGCTACGCGTCAGGTACAACATTGGGGCTCTTCCCTTGTTATTTTGGTTCCCCACCCCCCTCCTTTCGCTTTGTTTTGTCTTCCTTTTGTGTTACCGCTATGCTTTGTATTTTGAGCAACATAGGAAGCTTTCAGGAGTTTTAATTAGGTATGTGAGGTAGAAGAAGTCTGCTTAAATAAAAGACCTCGCCCCCTCTTCCTTTCCGCTGGGGGCTGGGGACATCCAGAAGAAGGAAAGTGAAACATTTGACTCTTGGTGGCCTCCAACGACAACGTGACATCAGATTTTGGGTGTATGTGACCTGCCTGAAGATAACGTGGGACCACCTCCGCACCAGCATTGCAGCCCGGGTGGCCATCACCCAGTGCAGCTCTTATCCCCTGCTGCAAGCACCAGTGCCCCTGGAGCCCAGGAGAGAAAATGTGGGGTGCTTTTAGTTGGAAGGAAGAGATTTTGCTGTTGTTGTTCTCATTACATGTGTTAAGTCCTGGGGTGTGGTGTGGAGGCATCCCCATGGTCATCCAGCACAGATTTTGCATTATTTCCCCCAAACTGGTGGTGGAGATGGGATTATTTTGGGAATTGTGGTCTCCCAGGTTGTCTTTCTGAGCATTTTTGGCTTGGATACAGACCTGACCACTTTGGGACAGAGAGGAGGGATAAGCCCAGTGTGGTCACAGCAGGGGCGTCCAATGGTTGAGAAGGTCCCATCCCTCTGGGGCTGGCACGGCTTGGGTCAGCACTTGGTTGTAGCTGGGGTTCAACACACCCATTAAAGCTCACAGGCTGCTGTTTTAGAGGCACCTGAGGGCAACACAAGCCCCGGGCAATCCCATCAAGAAACAGTTCAGGGCTGTCAACGTCCTTTGCCTGTAGATGGGATTAATCAGCGCAGTTAATTTGATATCTATAGGTTGGGTTGGGTTTTTTTTGTGAAGGATTTTGTCAAGATAAAGATTTTCAAAGGGCTCAGTGGATGGCAAGTGTCTGCTGTTCCTGTAGATACATTGCTTCCTTGGAGGGGTTGGGTAGCACCATGTAGCATCCTTCCTCGGCACAAACAGCAACGTATTGACTTAGTACAGCTCTCATCATCCTGAGGAGCTCATCCAGCCCCAAAGCCTGTCCTTCAGGCACGTGTTGAATGCCACCTTCGGCTGTTTCCAAGATCGCTCTTCCATTTCCCCCAAGTCCTTGGATGAGTTTTCATACAATGAGCGCTTCCTAAAGCAAAGGGAAAGGTCCAGGAGGAGAGGGTTGGGTTGGGTCAGGATGGGTTGTATTTTTTTGCTTGTTTTCAGCAGGGCTTCCTCAGGCGTTATTTGCCTGTTTGGAAATAGCCTCCTCCTTTACGAGCTCCTGGGGAATTGGGAGAAATAAGAGAGAGAGGAGCCATGGCGAGGTCTGACAAATCTTGACGGTGCGATTTCTCATCCTGCTTCATTTTGGCAGCCACTGGACCACAAAAGACACGAGGGGGAAGGGGGGTGGGGGGGGGG